TTTATGCATTAGTACTGAAAAGCTTTTTGTCTATTTAAACTGTATATCATAATTATACCACAAATATATCACTAAGTAAATCATCAAATTAAATTTTTTTTATAATGCTACAATTTAGCTATATCAATAGCTCTAAAATTCTAACACACATGAAAACTCTCCTATTCTGTCAATAGTACTTCTAAATTTAATCTGCCTGTCTTCATTCTCACAAAATTATCTTCATTTTTATTTTTATAAGGACTATGAAAATAAAACATAAAAATAATTTATACACAAAGGAAGCTGAACTTTAAGTACTATCATTCAATAAAAGAATTTTCAGTGACATTTTGTCAATGTAAATGTTTACTACTTTAATTGATGTGACTGAGAGCTTTTAAGAACCAAATGGAAAATATTACAACTTTAAAGTTACACTGTAAAATGTGAAATTGTGAAAAACCATTTCAGATATTCAGTAACACTAAATTAATTTCTCTTCCGATATAATAAGTACTGAGAAGTATCTGAATTGTCTTGTAATATGTTCTTTCATATTGAATTGTTTTTAAAATTAATTACTACCATATCTGAATAGATACTGTAATACTATACTATGCAACTTTGTAATGGAAGAATATGAAGCTGTTCCACTCTGACATTAAACATTTTAAAAACTCATAATTATGTGCAGAGCGTATACTTTTTCCATGCTTGATATAAATTTGCTTTTATATTTTATGGTGGTAAGCTAGCATCCAAAGGCTTATTTTTGCACTTTGCTTACCATGAATTCAAAACTGTGAAATATAAATTCTTGGTTTTGTTTCTGTTCTACTCCCAGCCTTAGTGGAGCATTATTAGTTGTCCCAGTGTAAATGGATCCCAGCATAAGTGGAATTAAGTAAAACCTGAGTACATCTATGAACTTTAAATGTTCTTTCCCTCTTCCTTCCCTCTGCTGTGCCTTTCTGTATGTACAGATGTTTAGGAAACAAACAAAAATCAAAAGAGTCAGATGTTATATTTATCCATTCGATGGTAGCCTTCCATTACTGTGGACTATGTTTATGAAGTTTTCCCTTTTTACAGTATGCATAAAAAAATTGTTATATCTCATTGGCTGTTTAATAATTGCTAATTGCAATTGTGTAGTATTGTTATATTTGTACTTTTTATGCAGTTCCATTTTAAATCATTTTAAAATTAGGGGAAAGCAATACATTCATGAGGTGAGTGAGAATTAAAAATATCATGTAGGACCAACCTATTTTTACATGGTGTTTCTGGTCACGTAGACCTTTTCCCAGCACAATATGTCGAGATGTGAGTTGCTTAAACATGTGTAGAAGCATGGCACTGCAGAACACTACGGCTCTTCACTTGGCTCTACCTATTGACTTTGAAGGAAAAAAAAAAAAAAAAAATTGGGTTTGTAGTGCTTTCTGATTTTCTCAGACACCTCACTTCCCAGGAAGGTGCTTCTGACATTTACACAAGACTAACACTGGAATAACATTGCCAGTCTTCAGGAAGCAATCATTTCTCCCTCCCCAGTAAATAAGTAAGAGCAGCTTGTTCTATAAACATAGCTACTGAATGATTAGATAGAAAGATAGACAGAGAGATAGATAGATAGATAGATAGATAGATAGATAGATAGACAGACAGACAGATAGATAATCTTGTTTGTATTTCTGCTGAAACGGAGAAAGAAAAACAGAGTGGTTTGGTTTGAACACATATATTAAAATCTTCTTTACTATTTGATTGCAGGATGCAACAATTACTAGAAATTAATCTCACTAAATGAGTAGCATAGATGATTGAAAAGATTAAATGGCTTCTGACAGGCACTGACTGTTTAGGAAGAAAAGTACACTTCTTTTGCAGTATAAAACCATAGAGTGGTAATGCAGACAGGTAATACAAGTTATATTTAAATGAAAATGGAAGATAAAAGTAAAGTTTTTAAAAACTCCAAGTGTAGCTTTTAATATTTTCTTAAATTCTACTTCTAAGTCTTTTACATAGATGTGTTAGCAAGCATTTATTTATTCACAGATGCAAGAGGAATAGTACCTAAAATTATGACATGGACCAGTTGTGAGGATCAGGAGAATTGAAGTTTGTGTTAAATCAGTTCTCTAAACATTCAGGTAAGGCTTTAAATTTTCTAGCCCATCTTGCAGACATGAAAACTTCTCTATTGCTGTGAAAAAAAATCTGATATCAGCTTCTAAATTTAAAGAAGAAAATATATAAAATAGCATGTATTTTTACTTCTTTATTCTATTTTCCTGGACTTACACAGATTCATAGAATTCACCAGGCAAATTGAATTTAACATTTTCAGGAAAGCTTATATAAATTCCTCTAACAGTTTTAGTTGATCCCTTTGGAAAATATCCCCTTCTTTACACATCAGAAACTGCCTTTGCTAGAAGAGATGAGTCTATGTAAAAACAGCCCTTTTCCATCCCCTGTTTTCTGCCTTAAATCCTTAGGCAGCCCTCAAGGTTCCCACTGGGCACAAGGGCAGTGATGCCTGTACAAACACGGGCTGGCTTGGCACAGTGCCACTCACATCCAGCACAGCTTCGCTCTGGGAATGGTGCAGGTTCCATCAGTGGCCTTCAGAGCAGCTGCCAGCAGTCGCTCCTGGCACACGACAAAAGGAGATGTGTGCCATGCAAACAGCCTTTTGATAGTTTCAAGGGATTAAAGAAGAAGGACTGGAAGAAGGTGGCACAGGGACGGGCTTGCCTATCGTCCATGAGGACTACTAGAAAGAGAAAAATCTCCTTTATGATTATTTGATAGGTTAGAAAGAACATTGGTGTGACTTCCCTTCCAGTACTGTTCTAGAGTGCCATAATATGTCAATCATAAAATCCTGCCCTTAGCACAAAGAAATATAGGAACAATATATGATGGATATGCAACATAGGAAAATTGAAGCCATATGAAAAAATATTTTAAAATAATTTCCAGGCATGATTCTGAGTAACTATTTTCAGTAGCTTATACACATCAAAAAAAGAATCAGCAGCAGCTTTTGATCTCTAACTGGAGAGAAATTAAGAAACAGCTTTCATGGTTTACCTTCCTTTTCTTTGTCTATTGATATGAAAAATAATTCTGGGGGAGAGAAACAAACTGAAGAAAAATTTCTGAGAGGGCATAAAAAGGTGATTTCAATTTCAGTAGACCTGTGGCAATTTGCATAAACCAGGGATTATTCTTTCAGCCTTCTCAATTAAAAAAAAAAAAAAAAAAAGGAAGAGGCAGAATGATTTTTGTCTATTCACTGTTTGACCAGTTTGGTTTGTGTTGTTCCTACTCCTCTGTCCCAAGCAGAAACTCTTCAGTAAGAAATCACTACTTTCTAAGACATGAGCAGGAGCTAGAATTGTTATTATCTGAGGAGAATATTACTGACATATAATGGAAGCAATACAATATAAAAATGTCAAACATTAAAACCAAATTATATATTAAATATTTTTTAGTGATTAGGATGAGGCTTCTCTAGATTTGGATTTTTTTGAGCTTTTTTCCCCTTTTTTTTTCCAGTGTGCACATGCACAGCCTCATGATAAACAGCCAGACATGAGGCTATTACTAGCTGACACTGTAAGAATCTTTACTACCGACAATGCTTAGTGCTGAGATGATTTTCATCGTTGGAAGCCTGAGGATGCATACCATTTAGACATGAGTTCTGCTCTTCAAAATTATGCTCTGATATTTTTTTTTCTTTTGGCAGTTTAACATGCTCTCTTTGTTGTAGCATTATTATTATTATTATTATCATCATCATCATCATCATCTCTATTTTAACAGCTCTCTTTTTATAGCTGTGTTGAATTCCTCACAGTCTAAGCAAATACACCATTGACCATCATTTATGTCTACAGTAATAAAAGAATTAATAATTTCAGCAATTTTCTTGGCTATTTATAAAGGGAGTTTTATCCTATCTACTCAGGTTTCATTTTGTTTGAAGACCATGGTGTGCTTTAGTATGTGTAGGAATCACAGAAGCAATCTATCTGTCTACTCAAATTTTGTATTTAACAGGTAACATCACTAAGCATTTAATGGCAAAGGACAAGCTGAATCATTTATCTTGGTACTGCATCCCTATGCTGTTTTCATTCTAACACAGGGAAGTTATAAAACTAAAATTATAAGTGAGACTGTAATTTCTCATTTCAGCACAGGATAAAAACTTTTTGTTTCATTTCATTTTAGCAGCAGAATTAGAGTGGTCTTAATGAGTAGGAAGATGTATGTTAGTAACATTGTCCAAGGTTAAGGGATTAACAGTTTGCCAAAGGTACTGTGTTCTTTACTCACCTGTAGCTAGATCTGTTGTCTCCTGAATCAATGTCCTTCCCTTCCCTTCCCTTCCCTTCCCTTCCCTTCCCTTCCCTTCCCTTCCCTTCCCTTCCCTTCCCTTCCCTAGATATCCTTTTAAAAGCATTTTCTTCTGCAGTTTGTAGAAACGCTGCTGGAACAATCAGAAATATGTTCTCATATTCCTAATATGCCACTTATAGTAGCACTCTCCCCTTCTTACAGTTGTTCAGTAATGCTTTCAGAATTAGGGCAATCTGATTTACTTTTGATGAAAACATTACTGGTTCATTGGAGATTCATAGGCAGATTTTCAGCTGGCTATATTCATTCAGATAAGGCATTTTAAGAGATAACACACTTCAAGCTGTGATTTGCCTTCCTTCTATCTTCCCTTTTGCACTTCTGATTTCTTCCTGGGTATGAATTTTGAACTACTGTTGAGGGTTTGCTATGAGGATGTGGGTTTACTTAAAAATTGGTAATATTAACTGTCAGATTCTGAAATACAGATGACTGAATATCATCTGCATTTTAATTTTTGTATAGATAATGGAATAACTTTCCCATTGATCTACTCTGGTAGTAATTACCATAGCTGTTCCTAATAAAGTTGGTGAGATTTGAAAAATGTATTTTCATTTCTTGTCTTTCAGTTTCTCACTTGGATCTCCAAATGGTAAGGTATTCTGCTAGGAGAGTTCTCATGTCTTTCTTATGAGCTGTTGTGAGATGACTTTGCACTGAAGTTTTCAGTTCCTGCATCTGGTGGCACAAATGAAATGTTGTAAGTGCTTTTATGACTTTTTTTCATCTTTAATTTTCACATTTAATACTAGGTAGTGGAACTGCAGCTTTATTTCCCTACCAATGTCAGAGGTTACATCCTGAGAGTTCCATATTAGACACCTGGGCAAGAAAAATCTACTGGAAGGGCAGGGCAGCACTGCAACAGGGTCCCAAGAAGGTTGTGAAATGTCCTTGGAGATTTTCAAGTTTTGGCTAGACAAAGCCAGAGATGACCTTTTCTAGTGTTGTTTATAGCCCGATTCCAGGTAGGAATTGACCTGTGTGAACTCCATTGACTACCCCCTCAAGCAGCACTTCTGTCTTGGAAGTAGAAATGCTGTGACTCCTTAAAACAGCCACTATTGCAAGGGCTGTATATAAGGATAAGCTTCCTGGAGAATTAGTGCCTCTGGACTTTTCAATTTTCAGGAACTGCTCAATATCACACCAACATCCTATGATTAGAAGGGATGATGATGAAACTGGTCACTTCTCTTATGTAGCTGACACAGTACAGAGAAGTGTATCACAAACCAGAGCCTCATTTTCATAGCTTATTTTAGTCTCACAAGGAGTTGCACCAACATTTACTCTGGATTGCTTGCAAATTACATAGCTGTGTCCTCCTGACCTGAGTCACACAGCACAGTCTAGGCAGGACAAACAAGGAACTTAACCTAGGGATTTTTCAGCCAGTCTTTAAACCTCATGCATCACTACATTATCATCAAATGGTGATTCATGGACAGCCTTTTGTAACTGGCAGGCATTAATTGAATTATAGCCAGTATCTTTATCTATGTAAATTCATTGTTTCCTCTTTGCTATAGCCAAATGTGTTATTCCTGCTACACCTCAGCATAACTGATAAAGTTATTACAAAGAACAGTACAGTCCTTCTGTTCTCACATTTCACTATTTCACATTTCACTAAGGCAAACTGACTCACTAAAAAAATTATTTGAATTGTGTGGTCTCCTCAAATGTCTTTATTACAGTGGGTGGTACTTGATGTCTTATTGAGATTCATCAGTGAATGCAGAAAAAGAATAACTTCCTTTTTATATTGTTTCTAATGCTGATAAATCAAAAATGTTGATAGGCTAAATTTTAAATACTTCTTACAGAAATCTGCAGCAAAGGGTATAGTTGTAACTTTATAGAATGACTGTATAAAATAAAATGCTTAGGTAGAGTTAAAAAAACCGCTTAAAGTAGCATTTATCATATTTTTCTCTTAGTGGGTATGCCATCATACTTGTGTATGCTAATGTTGTTCCTCAAATAAAGCACTCCATGCAGTGTTTCAGCTAACACTGAGCAAACTCAATACTTTACTATGACATCTCTATTGTACTTTGCATTTTACCTCCTGTTTGATACAGATAAATTCTTTAGCTGTGCCACATTTTTCCTCAAGACTGGGCAGATCAGTGAGGGCCATAAAATATTAATCACAAAAGCTTAGAGAATTAGATGTCTGTGACTGTAGGTTTGTCTTGTTGGCAAATCTTTCTCAGTCTAAACTATTTCTCTTTTTTAACTCAAACAGAAATGATGCACTGTAAAAGGTATTATGTCAGTTCAGATTAAAATATGTGTGTTTTTTCAGACCAGAAAAAGGGTTTGATTTTTTATTCAATGCTGCAAGTTTATTTAAGAATTTTATACATGCTTCAGTACTTTTGTTGTCAAAAGCAGACCTGATTGCCAGTATGCCATTTGCTTTGATTTTTCCAATTATGACACTCTCCTGCAGATCACATGGAGCAAAAACAAAGGACAGAAGTATGGAGAAAGAAAATTATACCTTCCTTTGTAAACTTGTGCCACTATAGGGAAAAGGTGCTTAACGAGGTAGTTGCCATGGTGGGTACAATGAGTGTTACAGGAGCTGTTGAGAGACCTCTAGTTTTTGACTAGGCCCTGTTATTTGGGAATTGATGGGAAGTGATCACTCCCTCTTCCTTTCCAATACTCTTTTTAACCTATGTGTTCGGGGCTTGCTTACATTAAACTAAAAGCTATCAAAATTTCTGTCCCAAACATGGAGGATTGAGTGGACCTTTTCTTTGCTTGAGAGATGTTTTATCTTCCTTGTTACACTGCTTGTAATTCTTGGTTTATTTCTTCTTCATTTAACTACTATTAACATGTGTTAGTTAAATAGAAATAATTCTAAGTCTGAAGAGGCGGCCAATTTTTTTTTAAATTAATATTAGCCTGTGCTGGGTGGATTTTAATGAATTATCCATAAAGCAGCATAAATGGAAATGGGTATCCTGACTCTGCAATGAACAATAAAAGTTATTACACAAGAGCAGGTAATGTTAAAAGTCCTTGAATGACAATAAGCTGTATCTAATTATTAGTCTGTGACAATGTGGATTTTTACATCCTTGAAAATTAATTGTATAGCACTAGGAAGAATTTTTCCTCCTACTTGACTCATGCTGCTTGTCATGCATTTGTTATTTCTCCTTTACTTACTACTGTGATGGGATTCTACCACTCTCCTTCAAAATTTGGAGAAAATGGCTCTACATTTCTAGACTTCTCAAAATCTACAGCAATATCTTATGACAGGAGTCAACTTTACTCTTGAAAAAGTGGAGTAAATGGAAAGAGTTTACCTATTTAGAGCACCTTACTGAAACAGCTATGCCAGCATACATTTGATTACTTTATAATGAGTACCTTTGTAAGCAGCATGGATTATATGACTAATGCTTAGGTGACTAAAACCAGAGGCTGAATTCTTTTCTAACGGTTGAAAGTGTTGCTGTTTCTGCTCACAGTACTATCAACCGGCTTCAAGGTACTGCCTTCACAGCACAAAGTGTGGGAGACAGTGACACAATGATTAATTCTTGGGTTTATGCCTTATCTAGGCCTGGTACTACATTAGTAATCCCAGACTGTCTTTTTGATTATCCTATAAAAAATTTTCCCACAAATTTCCTTGTTAAATGTATATATCCACCAACGGGTACTCAAATCTCGTGATCTCTGTCCTAGACTCCCTCAAATTTACTATCCAATATTGTGTCCATTCTGTCCATTTCTATCGTTCCTTGTAAATCAGGAATTCGACAATCCTTCAGTCTCAGAGGCACAACCAGGAGATGCCAAATTTGATGACGTTTCTGGGCTCCCCATACATTTTGCTTAATGTCACTACCTTCACATGTGTGCTGCTGATGGTTTGCTTAGAGTATTTCCAAAAGTCATAAGGAGTGAGGAGCTTTTGGTGAGACATAAGCAGGACAGTCTAGCACTCTGCTGGAAGTTCCATTGTTGTGGAACACTTTTAGCAGTATACTTTCCATTCTTATGAGAAGACCTTTCTCAAAATGTTAGAAAAGGACATGTGAGTTTCAAGATTTGCTGCTTTCTGGAAGAAACCCTAATATTCCTCTTGAGATGACCAGAAACCCTGTTGTACAAAACAGTTCTGTTCTGTGTCCAATGTGCTTAACAGATCAGACCTAAGGTGACAGTGGTGGGTAAGAACACTAATCCATGGTATATAATTGGTGTCATCCCTACCAAAGTCTCATTTTTTTAACCTTGTCTTTCATCTATTAAAATAAAGAAAAAAGGAAAAGCAGCTTTCTTTTAGTCTAGAGTAGAATGAAACACCAAGTTATATGTTTCACAAACACAAGAAGAATCAAGAAGTTTACTATGCCATATTGGCCTTTTGCATAGTGTTAAATTAAACCACACATTGCTCAGACTTTCTAATTAACAGTATGTTATGTGGAGGAAGTCTTTCAGTAATTAACCTTTCAGTTAATCAAAGCACATTTTATGCTTCCCTCCATCTTAGATCTATTTCATGTTTTTTTCTCCCTTTATTTCTTATCATTTACTTTGTGGTCTAGATCTTGCCTTTGAAATAGTAAGATCAAATCCCTGATTCACAGCTATCAAAATTTTAAGCTACACTGTAAGATAGCAGAGAAGGATAAAGCCTATTTTAATTCTAATATTTCTGGACTAAAATATCAGTTATAGTATGATAGAAAAATAACTCCCATGAGACAGTTTTCTTGGTTGAAATCATATGCACTAATAAAGATGTTCTGCTTTTCATTCAAAATCAACAGTTATTCATTGTAGGAATGTAGAAGTCTTTTTGTAAAGGGAGACATAATTGCAGCTTATATATACAATAGAACTTCATCAAACTGAAAACTGAGCTCACATATCACCTGCAGATTTTCTCTTCATTTTCCACAATGTTTCAAATTCTTAAGCATTTCTTAGGTTATAATTTTTGTCATTGTCTCCTATAAAAATATGGAGTCATTTATAAAGTACTGTTCAAACAGGAGGCTTACAAGACAACATATACAGATTTCAAAGCAAAAAGAGGTCAGGTAAAAATCTCTGAAAGAATTGTCTGTTTAATAAAGTAATTTTAAAAAGTGTAAACTCTTTGAAAAATATAGTTTTCTCCAGCAAAGAGTAATTTTTTTCTCTCTTTTATCCACTTATGGAAGTAGAATAATGTATTTCAACTTGACTACATGGAAGAGAGTAACTGCCAAATAATCAGCCTAAGTGATCTGCTAGTTGATGTTTTATCAATATTTTTGCTGAATTAATTATATATTACCTCATCCATGTGTGTTTCCATATTTTTAACTCACATAAACTTAGAAAAGCCTACAAATAATCTTCTAAAGAGAGAACATGTAGTGACAGAACTAGGGGAAATGGACTCAAACTGAAATAGGGCAGGTTTAGATTAGATATTAGGAAGAAATTATTTACTGTGAGGGTGGGGAGGCACTGAAACAGGTTGCCAGAGAAGCTTTGGATGCCTCATCCCTGGAAATGTTCAAGGCCAGGTTGGATGGAACTCTGAGTAGCCTGGTCTAGTGAAAGGTGTGCCTTCCCATGGCAGTAATTTAATCTAATTATTGAAATATTTTATATTTTTGCACTTCTTTACAAGTCATTGCCCACTCTAAGCCAGTATAAAAACAC